GAAACTTTAAACACAAAATCTGATTAAATGCATTATGCTTCTTGTACATCACCCCTCGTGTAAGGGGTGTGTAATTAAATATCAAGTTTGTAATAATCACTCTCAAAAATTACTTTTGATGGCTAAGATAAGTGTAATTTACACTTATTAATAACAAGCATTCCGACCAAACAATTGTTCATTGTCCATATCATATGATTAATTATCAAATTCTCATAATGCAGGTTGAATGTGATGCTAACATCTAAACAACTAGCCCAGAATCATAATATTACAATAACACAATTGAAATCCATACAACATCATCTGTAATTGGATATTGGGAAGAAGGAAGGAAAATATTCTTGAATCTTGAGTTTCTCTAATGGTTAAACTTCTTCTTCTTCAACTTCAATTGTATGAAAAGATGGGAATATGATGTGTTGTAATGAGAACTTCTTCAATTCTTTCACATAAATAAGGATTTTCTCTTAAATGGCCCTCTTCTATTTTGTGGAATATGGGTGCATGAGCTCCAAGCTTCCTCTCTTTGTTTGTAGATGAGAGTCGTATTTATATGACAAGACTTAGGTCAAAATCCTTGCCCTAATTGGTTTCCAAGAAGTTGAACAAGAAAAGAAAACATATCTTTTGTTATCGGAATGCACTATGCAATTGCACGAGCAAAATGTTTGCGCTTACACAGTTGTCCAAAATTGGAATCTGCTTTTACGTGTTTGGCTGGTGCGATCGCACCCCTTAATTTTTTGCATGCTACAATTTGGTCCCTCAATTTTATCTCTCGTCCAGCTTGAGCCCTTTATTCTTTGCACCTTTAATCTTTCATCTTTAAATCTTCATAATTTAGTAATCATCATTCATTAATCATCGGTAGTCAATCCGATGAAAGTTCAAAGAATTTACACTTTAGTCTCCAAACTTCCAAATAAGTTTCGAAGCTTCTAAATCACCTCTGATTGTTCCATAATTTTTCTAATTTATCAATTACAATTTGATTGATCATCATTTGCCCCTAGTCAACTCCAATTTAACTCCAAAAATGACTTTTCACGCCATTGCATCCAAGTGCCTTCAAATCGAAGTTTTATCTACAATTAGCATATTTGCACCTAAATTAGGTAGATCTCTTCGCAATTTTACATAAATAATCGAGTAAAGAAGTCCAAATATGCACTTATCATATTTCATACGTAATAAGATATCTCATTTATTAGTATTGGTTTATTTCCTTCCATGTTCATTAGTAGTTACTTTTCTCCCTTAATCTCATTATAAAATTGAAAGAAATTGGCTTATGAGTTACTTGGACCAGAAGCACGGGAAGAGTACAAGAACGAGATGTTCTTGGTGTTCCACATGAGATAGATAATTCCAGAAGATCAAGGGCATGTGTGAGTGAAGCACGTTCCAGCGGATCTTGGAAATTGCAGGAATTAGATAGGCGAGTCTAGTGAGTTTTCTAGATTTGATCATACTGTAAGTTTTTATTGTATACAGTGAAAACTACTGGTTTGATCCCGAAGTTTTTATCTATTGAGGGTTTTCTCCGTCATCAAATATTGTGTTATTTACTACTTTAATTA